ACAACCCAAAGCTGAGATCGGGAGAGAAAACTGTAGACTGCTATTTCTACCAGACTTCGCAATGTACCAGGGGCCAGCTTTGCAAATACCTTCATTCACCGTATAATCTCGGGACGAGCATGTACCTAAGAAGGGGGCAGTGTTGCGGGCCGGTGTGGACTCGACCTAACCTCACAATATGGCCCGCCCTCGGATGACCTTAACATCGCATAGACACCGCAATGATTCATTCGTTCGAGAAGAATCGAGTCCCACTGGAATGGACGAGTACATACGAGAACATTCGAAAACCTCTCTACGCACCTAACGATCTATGGACAATTCTAGAGTTCTTTACCTGCCGGTATAAAAGCCGGCGGCCGTGGCCTACCAGGGGCAGTTATAAATATACAGTCGACGCGCTAAAATTCAAAATAAATTCTTAGTTATAAATCGTTTGTAAATAGTTCTATAAGTCGTTTATCGTTATTAGTTTTGTTAATTAGTGTTAAATAAATAGTGTTTAAATAAATTGTGACTTTCTATCCACACGGAACCGACGAAAAACGTAACAATATTAACCTGTATAAATTTAACGTAACCTTGCAACATCCTCATCTCAAACTCACGTGAAAATTCGAAAAGATGAAACCACAGTTGTGCGTGTCATATGGCAGAATTATTGTGGTGTAAGTTGTTTATATTTATTTGTTGTGATGAGTAGCCAGCAACCAGTGAGAAATTAAAAAAAAAACAGAACAATAATTGGAATAATTTTTTGAAAAATGAAGTGCTGCGGTCTTAACCCTCATAGATGGTGATTATATGATATATATATTTATATATTGTGAATGTGATGTGAGATGTGATTAAACTATTAAATGATTTAAAACAATATTTTTAAATTAATCATGGTAATGACATTATTACAGGGTGATCAGAATTATATTCGAGAAACTTTGGCAGCATATTGTACAGATAAAAATAAGTATAAAGAAGCTCCTTTAAATGTAGGTGTGTCAAAAATAGAGATACAAAATGAGAAGGTTCACTTTTATTTCGATTTTTAGCCGACCATAACAACAGGTATGATAGGCTATTAAGATCGGCAAAAAAAAAGTTTTTTTAATTTCACTCAAAATGAGTTATTTGGGTCATAAATGACCTAAATACCAAATATTCTCATGGTGTTTGTCTGTCTGTCTGTCAGTCCGTCTGTCCGTCTGGAACACGATAACTCAAAAACCGCTAAACCGATTTTAACCAAATTTGGCACAAAAATACTGTGGCACCCGAGAATCTGGCCATTATTTTTTGGTGGGGGTGGGGGGTTGATAAGGGGGTATAGGAGGGGTTTAAAAATTTAAAAAAATCGTAACTCCAAAATTACAGTAGCTAGCGAAACGCGGTTTTCAATAGATTAGGAATAATATTTGCAAAACAAAATTTGTAATAACATCAAAATCAGTCAAAATCGCAGTTTTTGAGATATTCCGTGTTTCCGTAGTCCGTTTTTGAGAAAATCCATGTGGGGAACTCCAAACTCTCATCGGACGCGACCCCAGGTGGCGGATAAGGGAAAAAGAATTCAATTTATAGACTATATCATTAGTTTTGATGTATGTTTTTAGTTCTGAAGTCGAATGGCATCATAATTCGCCGTGTACAATTTTAAGAGACATTTATATGTGTAGAAAATTTAATCAAAAAATACCGTATGATCGAAAAAAACAAATCCAGTTGGCTTGCAAATGATGGTCGATGTTTACTTACAAAATGACAGCGATTTTAATTTCCAGAGCATCTCTGACTCCGTTATAACGGGTGCGTCTCAAAAGTGGCTTGTATTGTACTTGTGGGTTCCAAGTGGGACCCACCACTGTTTATCTGAAAAAATAAAAAATTATAGGGATGAGTCACTTTCGAGACGCACCTAGGACATATTTCTATCGTATGGTAGTTATATATTAAAATAAATCTACCGAGCGAATGAAAATATTCAGTATTATACAGGGAGTCCCAGAAATAAGTGCAAGTATTTTAACTGGTAGTATAGTTCAACCCCAAAAACACGCCTATGTGGTTTTTTCCGCGAAAAAAAAAATTGAAAATTCGAAATTTTTTGAAATTTTTTTTTGGATTTTTTTTAGTTTTTAGTTAAAAAAAATAATTTCTTGATAATATGACAACATGGGTAGTAGATTAAATTTACAATAAAGAAAATCCAAAAAAGATGCAGTGGTTCTCAAAATTTTAGCAAAAAATCATTTTTTTTTGGAAATTTTCAAAGTAAAGTAACTCCGTTATTTTGGACTTATTTGAAAAACGATAAAGAGAAAATATGTTTTTTTATCGAGATCTACCATCCCTTAAAATACTTGAAAATTTTTTTTGGGATTTTTTTTTTAGTTTTTAGTTAAAAAAATAATTTCTTGATAATATGTAGATTAAATTTACAAGAAAGAAAATTGAGAAAAGATGCAGTGGTTCTCAAAATTTTAGCAACAAATCTTTTGTTTGGAAATTTTCAAAGTAAAGTAACTCCGTTATTTTGGACTTATTTGAAAAACGATAAAGAGAAAATATGTTTTTTTTATCGAGATCTACCATCCCTTAAAATACTTGAAAATTTTTTTTGGGATTTTTTTTTTAGTTTTTAGTTAAAAAAATAATTTCTTGATAATATGTAGATTAAATTTACAAGAAAGAAAATTGAGAAAAGATGCAGTGGTTCTCAAAATTTTAGCAACAAATCTTTTGTTTGGAAATTTTCAAAGTAAAGTAACTCCGTTATTTTGGACTTATTTGAAAAACTTAATAAAGAGAAAATATGTTTCTTTTATCGAGATCTACCACCCCTTAAAATACTTGCACTTATTTCTGGGACACCCTGTATTTATACGTAATTGTACTGTAAAAGTATATTTTATTCACCCCTCTATTATCTATTAAAACATTTTTAAAATGTACGCTTCTATCGTTTGTATGTTTTATATTATTATTAATGAAGTATAGAATAGTTAATTGATATACCATTTTTTAGAACACCGAGTCACCCTGTGTTCTTTACTGTTTGGTAAACAGGTTTATATCTCTTTTATATTATACCTTTAAAGTAAAAATCAAGCAAATATTATTCGTGGCACGTATCACGTACCTTTTGTCACAGTTTCATAAATTTTAACAATCGCAACGCGGGATATATAAAAATAAGCTAGCATGTTATCGCTATACTCACAGGCTATGCTCTATTTTCAATGTGTTATTTTTAAATATAAATATATCTGTAGCCAAGGGCACCGGAAGTGGGAGGGAATAGTACAAGAAGATGCATTTGCAACTCCCTGTCGGAATAGGAATGCAAAAATCATTAAGAAGCATTACATTATTAAGATACTGTTTGAATACAAATTCAAAGCATCTGTGTTAGGTATAGTGTGTCCAACGAGAAGATCCTTGGCAGTGATAGATGTGTCTGTCATTTTAATTTCAAAGTAGTTTATTTTATTTTACAACTGGAACGCATAGCAGGAAATTAATATATTTAAAATTTGACTGACAAATGATTACTTCAAAATATTGTGAAAGAAACTGTATAAAACTGAAAAAATGTAATCGAGTTATTTTATTTAATAAAAAACGGTATGTGTTAATACAAAACAAACAAGAACAAGACACCACATACCAAAAAAATATAAAAAAAAACTATTTCCTACTTTTAAGCTTTATGAAACTTGTGAAAAAATTTATGATTATATTTATCAATATAACTTATGTATGTACAAATACAAATTTGTAATATTCCACAGGAATAAATAAAACAACATAAATAGAACAAACTATTTTATTAATAATAACACTTACCAAATTTTATACCTTAAAGGTTGATTAATTAACTTTAATCTTAATTTTTTTAAACCAGTACCTTTTGACATTATTTTTCTGCAGTGCTAAAATCCCTTATTTACCTATCGTGTGATGTCGATATTTTACAGCTACTCCAGTTTTTAAGTATGTGTTTAGTATGATCCTTCTACCATATTCGAGATGCACTTATCTACGACGAGATGTTATACGTTGACACAAAATTATAACCTATAATTTGGCAAGACTTTGACAAGCGTCAAAAATGACTAAAATCCTAAAATCTAAAGGCGAGTTCATACGCATCGGCGTCTGTTTATCGTTCATCGTTCCGTCAAACCAATAAAATTGAAATATGATCTGTCATTCTTTAAATAAACCAATAAAACTGGTTAAAAACAACAAGACACGACGCATGACGGATTTATATTTAAACCCATCCATAGATAACTTAAAAATAATTAGAAACTTTTTTTAGTAAAATAAATAGATTGGTATGGGACGTCATCTGTTTTTCTTCTGTCATCGTCTGTCGAAATCTTACCTGAGAAAAAAAACAGAGTATAGTAGCTAGTAGTAAGTTTAGTTACTACTAGCTACTTTAGCTTTTTTAGACTGGGTACAGTTGACACTATCTGGTATTTATTGTTCGTGGTATTGTTACCTTTGTTGTTACAACAACAAAATAAAACACTAATTTACTTTGTACTCTTAATAAATTTGCGCGTTTTGTGGAACAATCGTTTTTTTTATTTTCAACCATATTATATTATGATTTTGGCACCTCTTGATTCTGCCGCCAGAAAAACCTGAACAAAGTTTACCTTCCTCCCCCCCCTCCCGATACGTGGCTGTAAAATTAATATTTAACGATATATCATGCCTAAATCAAACCTAAACCAAGAGCAAATCACAATTATTATTCATTTTTCTTTGTTTTAATTTGTATGTGTATATTTTTTTTTTGAGATCAATAAATGTTTATTATTATTATCATATTATAGTATTATTTACAAACTTTAATATCTACTTCAACAACAAAAGAGATATCTAGGGGACAATAAAAATGGTGCACAATGTATTAGAAAAAAGAACTTAAAAAATAAGCATTTTCCCGGAAGTTATTTAACTTATTTAAATACTTATTAATATTTCAGGCATCCCCCTGCTCCTCTGTTGGTGGAGGACCCGCCCAGTACTGATGACGAAGGCCTGAATGAAGTAAGGAACTGTAACCCTACGTTCCTTCATGGGTAAGTACTTAATTTCAATTCGATTCAACATTGACAGAAAATTTTTAAAATATCTTTAAATATGTATCAAATAAAAAATTATGAATATTAAGTTGCAAGTAAATATACAGGGTGGTCCGAACTGTATTCCGGAAACTTCGGCAGCATATATTCTGCCGATAAAAATAAGTAAAAAGGTTCGTATAAATGTATGTCCTAAAATGCTTATTTCGGAGATGCAGGGTGTTGAAGTTTCATTTCTATTTCGATTTTTTCCAAATAATTTCTGAAGTAACGTCAATATTTGGATGAAAATTGGTGTCTGTTTTTATGCCAAAAGTTCAACAGACACTGTTTTATTATCATTCTTTCGAAGAAAAATTTATGATTAATTTAAAAAAATAAAAAGTTTCGAAATATTTCATTTTAGTCAAATAACTATCTGACTGTTCCTATTCTAAATATCTTGAGAACGGTTGCTCGTAGCGATTTTTAGCAAGAGACATTTTTTACGTAAAAAATCACGAAAATGTATATTTTTTCACTGTGGTTTTATACAGGTACGAACGAAAAGTTATTACCCTTCAAACCAGTTAAAATATATGTAGGTGGTGCCCCCTACAAATTGGAGTCATATTACATCAAAATCAAATTTCTCATGTCAAAAAATTACCAGACACCAATTTTCATCCAAATATTGACGTTACTTCAGAAATTATTTGGAAATAATCAAAATAAATATGAAACTTCTACACCCTGTATCTACGAAACTAAGCATTTTGGGACATACATTTACACGAACGTTTTTACATATTTTTATCTGCATAATATGCTGTCGAAGTTTCCGGCCCATCCTGTATAATAAATAAACCAGAGAGCTTTATATGGAGGTTCCTAGGAATATATAATATTAATAGAAAAAATGGTTGATTAAAAAAAAGGAATAACAAATATTTAAACTATTTAAATCTTAATTTGTCATTAGAGTAAATAAAAAATTGGTACACCAAACAGTTAGTAATCTTACAATATACATTATGTATGTAAATGTTTTAATATTTATAAGATAACGCGATAACCATATTTTTGGCGATAGAATTATAGGTCGGGAGAAATATCGTGCCAACTAAAATCCAAATGGATTTATGACTTAACTACAAAATCGAAAATTTTGGTGAATGTGGTTTCATTACAACTGCATCCAATCCTTCACTAAAAATTTTTTCATTCAGAACTTCAAAATTAGTAGAATACATTAGTGGTGTCAATTAAATATTTTATTAAGAATTTACGATCATTCAAAATGCCTAAAAAATTACAATTATTTAATTGTAATTTTTTCTATTTATTTATATTTTTATTATTTTCTATTTATTTAAATTATTTTTTTTTTATTTTATTATTTTCTATTTATTTAAATAGACTATCCTAGCAACAGTTTGCGACAGTCATTTGTCAGTTGTATCCTCAGATTTAATCTACTATACCGGGTGCGTCTCAAAAATGGCTCACCCCTATAACTTTTTTTATTTTTTCTGATAAAAAGGCGAGATTTGGTATGTTAGTATATGACATAAAATAGGATTAATTGACGTATTCAGTTGTTTTTGGTCACTTACTGTTTTACCAGAAATGACTACAACTTTTGATTTTCAAATGGCACCCTCGGTATATTTCTACTTTATTTGAGAGAAAATGACACTGAATAGAAAGACATTTCATATGTCAACTTTTGATATTTTTGCATAATATGGATTATTTGAAATTCTAACATGCGGTTCATAACGACAACTTGACTCGAAATACCAAGTGTGTGATATCAAATTATTCGTAAAAAAAATATTTTTCCAAATATGCTAATGAGTCACTCTCGTTACATTTGAAAAAATTGAAATATGATTAAAAATACGATTTGGGTATCTTTTAACCGCCCAGGTCAAGGCACGAAAATCATTAGACCATCAAAACCATTTTTCCAAGGCTTCCTGATTAAAAATGTGTGTTTTTAGCACAGCCATGGCTCTTTAGATTTATAATACGATTTTTTTAAAGCGAAAATGTCAAAAGTTGACACATGATACGTCATTCTATTCAGAGTGTCATTTTCTATCGAATAATGTAAAAATAATACCGGGGGTACCGTTTAAAAATCAAAAGTTGTAATCCGGTAATTTCGGGTGAAACAAGAAGTGGCTAAAAACAAATGAATTCGTCAACCAGCCCTATTTTATGTCATATACTAACATATCTCGTCTTTTTAGCTAAAAAAAATAAAAAACTTATAGGGGTGAGCCACTTTTGAGACGCACCAGGTAGAGAAGCCATAATTAATATAATAATAATAATAGCTCCCGTATATAGCGTTTAACGCCTTGGGAGTAGCAAGGTACAGCCAAAGGTACAGCTTGCTATACTAGAGCCGTTCGGTATACAAGGAAAGTAATGTGGCTAGCACTACGCTTCAACCGCCTATTATAATATTACCTCAGGATTGTGAATTCCAAGTACTCATTTAAGGTTGAGTTCATTAGAAGCCATAATTCATTAGCTTATAAAACAATAAACTTTTCAACATTTTTTCTTGGCGTATAAGCAATGACCACAATGACATTACTCGCAAATTTTGAAGTGTAATTAATTGCAAAAAATGTTCTGAATGCTTACATTGAAACTAGAGGAACAAACTTCTACGCTAATTCAAACCACTAATTTATTCCACTAATTTGGAGGTTCCGAATGAAGCTTAAAGTTAGAAATTAGTGGTTTCAATTAGCGTAGAAATGTGTTCCTTTCCAATTTCAATGTAAGCATTCAGAACGTCAAAATTAGTGGTAGACATTTTCAATTAATAGAAAAAGTTATCAAACTTTTAATTTTTCCACTAATTATACTTCAAAATTTGCGAGAAATGTCAATTTGGCCTTTGATTATATCATCTGTCAAGAAAAATTTTAGTTAGAAATCAAAAGTTTGTTTTATAAGTTAAATATTATGATTTCTCTGTGGATACAACAGACTACCGCAACCTGTTGCTAGGATATTTTATTAATTTTGTGAATGTGTGTGAATGATCGTAAACTAAAAAGTATAAAGTGTAATTGAAACCACTAATTTATTCCACTAATTGGAGGGTTCTGAATGAAGCTTTATACTTATTAATTAGTCTTTCAAAATGTATAATGGAATAGTTCTCTAATTCGTTTTCATTCGTTATCACCTAGACTATAAAACAGAATCTACTCACATTATTAAGGTAAATTAGCATAATGCAAAGATCAACACCTGGGCTAATAAAATTTTCGTGAATTCTGTGGTAGTAGTAGACTTTCTGATTCGGTAATTGGAGCAGTGTTGTTATATTGCTTGTGCTAGATTTAAACGTTTAATAGAAAATATCTGAGGAATGGTATGCAAAACATTACAGTCTTTATTTTCATTTATATAACAGTGTTTAAAACAGGCGATAGTGGGTTTATTTGAAATCTATTATATATTTCTGTACAGTCTTACGAAAAATATCAACATTAGTTGTTTTTTTAATTTTCATTTCACTACATTCATTTTACAGATTTTTATAGAAACGGGCTTTGTAAATGAAAGGCTGTATATTTTACTTTCAGTGAATTTGCAATAAAATTGCCAATTAGAATATACAATAATTTATACCGGGTGGTTTTTACAATATGCACATTTTTAACTAAATTTTCTGCACATTTAAAGCTCACACTTGTCTTGTTGTATTTTATATTAGTGTGGTTTTCAGAACTAATTATTACTAAAATATTCTGTACTGCAGGGTATAAACAGGGTGAAACAACACTAGAAGCCAAGTATTTTTAACCAAATAATTTTAAGAAAATAACTTTGCAGAAAATTTTATTTAAAATTATTGATCATATTTTAAAAACCACTCGGTGTAGATTATGAGAGTATGATATTTCTGTACTGTAAATTTTATGGAAAATTCGTTCAGAAAAACACATACAGTATGTCCACGGATTGTTTTGAAAAGAGAAATTTTTTTTATTTGCCAACTTTTGCAACAATGCAAAAAATTCATTCTTCATGAAAGTTTTTTTTTACATTTCTCTAAAATGGTTAATACTTCTTATACTTTTCCAAATTTCCATACTGTTACAAACAAAAAAATTAAAAAAAATATGAAAATTTAGTTTTCATTCTTTGATATTATGTGGCTATTATTAATTTTGATTAATGTCATATTTTTTTGATGTTTTCAAATGTAAAACAAAATTTAGAATCACTTTTTCTGTAACATTGAACTAAATAAATAGTGTGCTACTTTAACATTTTAAAACAGCAAAAAATATGACGTTAATCAAAATTAATAATACCCATCTATCAAAGAATGAAAAAAGAATCATGTTCTCTATAACAGTATGGAAATTTGAAAAAGTTAAACGGGATTAAGTATTACAAAACAAGCAAAATCTTTTATAAAGAATACCTTTTTCTCAAAATGTTTATAATAAAAAAGTTTTTCCTCTTGTAAAGACAATGCGAGGACATAGTGTATACAACATTTTTTTGGCAACACTACAAGTTTGAACGTAAAATATATTTGAATCGCTTTATACTATATCTATGAAAATATGTTTGAAATGTAGGCTGTAAATTTTGCAAAATAGATTTAAGGGAAAATCTGAAATAGGTATTGTGATACGGAGTTTTTTGGAAGCTGTGGGTCACCCTGTAGAATATTTATATATAATAGCTCTAAAAGCCTAAGAGGCTCATGGCTTGGTTGGTTATCTTTCTCCATTTGTTTCTGTCTTTCGCATTTATTCTCCACCCATCCGCTCTTATCCTTCTCAAGTCCTCTTCTACATCCTTTTTCCATCTGATTCTCGGTCTACCCCTCCTTCTCTTTCCACCTATTTCATGTTTCATTATCATACATAATTCTTGCTTCAGCCATTCTTTCAATGTGTCCCAGCCAGCTCAGTCTTTGTGCTCTTGCTACTCCCGTTATACTCGGTGCCCGATATAGTTGCTTTAATTCTTCATTTGTTCTTCTGGTCCATATGTTGTCTATCTTCTTTCCTCCAAAAATCTTCCTCAGTATTTTTCTTTCCCAAATCTCTAGCCTTGAACATTCCGTTGCATTGAACGTCCACGTTTCACATGCATACAGCACTATTGGTCTTATCACTGTTTGGTACATTCTGATTTTTAAACTTCTAGAAATGTTCTTACTCTTAATAATTTTCTGTTATGTGACACATCTATTTGCTGCCATTATTCTTGCCATAATTTCTTAAAGTGAACAATATTTATCATACTTATTTATCGTTTTTATTTAAAATTTATAAATAAGAACTTTTATTCTTGTTAACAGAAATATTAAATACAAAATTTGATACTCTCACTTTCATTGACATTACCCCAAATTCTTATAAAAGAATATGTACGTTTATTAAGTGGATACACATGTTTTGAAGTTTTTTAAAATGCCATAACATATTTTGTATCAAATGCTTTGCGATATTGTAGCACATTTGTTTACATTCTAATAACTAAATAAATAATTATTCTCTGGAGGACAGCATATGGTTTTCAATCTTAAACAGTGTTATTCTAATTACTATACCAGGGCCATTTGAAACATAGCACGACATGCTTTTTTCTTAAATTAAAGGAAAAAATGAAAATAATTATAATGCTAAAAGGGATTGCTAAAGAAGAAAACTAAAAACATAATATCTAAAATATAATTAGGCAAAAGTTTAGGCAAAAAATCAATTCAATACAATACATATGTATAAAGACTTAAAAATAATCAGGATAGCTCCAACCTATGGCTCCAACTCATTCTGAGAAATTTGAAATACAAATAATTCTAATTCTACATTGTTATATTTGACTAAACATACATAATATTATAATAGGTACTTAATAATTAAATAGATACAGGTGCTCTACAGGTGTTTAAAAACAAAGATGAAATAAATAGTATATTTTAACAGCTGATAAACAACAGTGGTTATAACTAATAACCTTGTAAAATTTAACATGACTTGTTGAAAACATAAAAAATAATTGCAATAATGCATATGTGACCGAATATGAACTAAAGACTAATATTTTATGAGTGCAAGACTGTATTAATTAAGCTGTGCCTATGTTAGTCTCTAAAATATGCTTGAAAATAAAGTTCTTCCTCTATAGAGTTGTAGTTGTAGAGCATATTCCGGACATATTAATGCAACTCCTTTGAGAAATTTGCTGTACCTGGAAATTGATACATATTGAGAAACATTGTACCGTATAATTTAAAAAAAAACGGCGTCAAAGACGGCTGGGGATTGTCAATCGATGATAATTTTGACGAGGTCAATCTTAAAAAATAAAACTTGTCAAATTCCCGGGAGCAATAGGTTAAATTTTATTATGTCATTTATCCAATTCAAAGTAAACACACACTAACGCCGCAGTCAAATTTTACCCAAGACAATAAATAAATAAAAACGCCATAAATTTACTTACTTACTGCCATTACTTGCTGAGGAGTATTTGACATGTATCAGAAGATTGTTACGCAAGGCGTTTTCTTTCATGAATGGAAATGGACTCTTAAGCGGTATAATCCCTTCATAAAGTAGACTATCTGTGACACTGCCATTTTTATACATCCTATATACAGGGTGTTTATTTTAAAACTCACCACCCACGTTATCTGCAAAAATAGACAGATTTGTGATATTCGCGCAAAAACACGTCAACAAATTTATCGAGGGGTAAGCTGTTTTATGAAAAATTGGATTCAACCCCCTAACCCCCAGGGCTGCCACCCCAATTTTTTTAAATGAGAAAAGGGGTCGTGTGACACATCATTTTAAAGCGCTTTTTATTCTGAACATTTTGACGTCCTATTTTTTAAATTTTACTTTACCGTTGCGGAATAACACCCATATTAAGGTTTAAATAGGTAGACATAATAAAAATATCCAAATTACTGCTCTGTCCCATAAATGCTGTAAATATTAAGAAATATTACATGTTTGTTATTAAAAAAAATCAGTAAACAACATGCATTCCACCTTTTTAAACAGACTCTTTTGATATCATTAAAATTTGCAAACATTTCTTCTTTTTTATTTGTTTATTTTATGATATTTCAGAAGAATTCCACCGAAATATCAGTGTCACTTTGTGATGTGAATTGTGAATGCATAAGTTTCCTTTCAATATCGCGCTACAGTTTTACAAAAATTAAAACTTAAATTTGCAAAAATGGTTTACTCTCTGGAAGAAAGAGTTCAATTAGTGCTTATTTATGGATCCTGTAATGAATCACCTCGGACTACTTCCGCTGTTCTCAGTGCGAGGCACCCCGATAAAAATGTTTCTTCTCTCACGTTTATTGCATGCAGCTTATTCAAAAGTTTAGAACCACGGGGTCGGTAGCCAATTCAAAACGTAGAGGCCCTAGGGTTATTGATGAAATTACTCAAATTGAGGTTTCAGGACTTTTTGCGGCAGATCCATGTACTTCCATAAGGTAGGTTTCTAATGCCACCCACGTGTTAGTCAGATTAATCCACAAGATAACTAAGCTTCACAAATTCCATCCGTCTAAAATTCAAATTCTACACGCATTGAATGAAGATGAACCAGATCGGAGAATTCAATTTTGTGAAGAAATGACCGAGTACATTACACGAACTCCAAATTTGCTTTTAAACACATGTTTTACTGAAGAATGCACATTTTTTCTTAATGGAGATGTCAATAAACATAATTGTCGCTATTGGAGTGATGAAAACCCTCATATTTTTAGAGAAGGTCATACGCAGTACCCACAAAAAATCAATGTTTGGGCGGGAATTCTGGGTAATACTGTACTATGTCCAATATTCCTAAATGAAAATCTAACGGGGAGATTTACCTAAACATGTTGGAAGAAGCAATTGATCCACTAATTACTGATGCAGTGGAAAATCAAAGGGACGACGTCGGTAACGCCATACTTAATGAAGATTTTATTCATTTTCAACTTCCCCACTACGCCAGATATGTTCGGGATTGGCTGGGCGATAGATTTCCAGAGAGGTGGATAGGAAGAAGAGAGCCAATAGAATGGCCTGTAAGGTCACCTGATCTTAGCCCGAACGACTTTTTTCTTTGGGGTCGTTTAAAGTCAGGAGTTTATAAAACCGTTCCCCAAAACATTAAAGTTTTGAAAAATCGCATAACAGCAGCGTGTAGGGCCATACCCCGGGAAACTTTTCAAAATGTCCGTCAAGAATTTGAACAGCGATTATTTAATTTGCTTGCTTCGTCTACGTTACCGTAGATGGAGCTGAAGGCTTGGTAGGGTTTATATAAATAATTTTATTGTTTACAAGTCAATGGAGAACACTTTGAGCAATTAATTAAATAAGCTTAGTGATTAGGAAACGATTTAACAACCTTAAAACGGGTGTTATTCCTCAAAGGTAAATTGAAATTTAAAAAATAGGACGTCAAAATGTTCAGAATATAAAGCGCTTTAAAATGATGTGTCACACGACCCCTTGTCTCATTTAAAAAAATTGGGGCGGTAGCCCTGGGGGTTAGGGGGTTGAAGCAGGGCCTTCCAATTTTTCATAAAACACCGTCCCCCTCGATAAATTTGTTGACGTGTTTCCGCGAATATCACAAATCTGTCTATTTTTGCAGAAAACGTGGGTGGTAACTTTTAAAATGAACACCCTGTATTATAAAGTGTGTTGATTTTGTTGTTCATATAGAAATGAAACTTTATCAGAAATAGTATATTTAAAACTATATTCTATTATTACTATTACTTGCTAAGCTCTAATTCTTAGAACCTAAATATATATCTTTGCTTGTTATTTAAGAAACAACGTCACATCACATGCCTTTTTAACATTCAGCTCGCATAGACTACACTTTCCTATACCCCCGTAATTTATTAACCAATATCAACGGCCAATTTTATTAATTTATTTATTTATTCGACAAGTATGTATATGTGTGCCGGCGAACAGGCCTGGGTCACGAATCACTTAAGCCGACTTAAAAAAACAAAACCAGTCAAAATACTACGAAAAATTAGAACATTTAATATAGATTCAACACTAATTCCCGATGTGTTTCATTAGTATTCCTCAGATTTTTTCTGTGCGCCGGTAACGATGCAAGAATCGGACGTTACACAGATTAACATTAAAGAAAAGGACAGAAAATGCGTGAAAATATCGGAAACGGTGGAAGTGAGACGTGATGGTAGCGAAGAGAGTGTCAAGGACGCGAGTGGTGACAGTGATGACGATGGCAGTGACCTAGTGGAAGATCGACATCATATTTTCGGTTATATTAGAAGAAGGTTTAGTTTGCCTGTGCAGAGGCTTAGGAGGTACAGCTTCAAGTTGGATAGGTCGCATAGCTTGATAGATGGTCGAAGGTAAAGATTACTCGGTTTATATTGATTTGTTTAGTGACTGTAGAAATAACTTTTTTGTTTTTGTCTTTTTCACAATAATTGACATGTAATATCTACTGTCTTTTTTGTTTGAAATGCTGGGTGGTCCGAACTGCATTCCGGAAACTTCGGCAGTATATTCTGCAGATAAAAATAAGTGAAAAAGTTCTTATAAATGTATGTCCTAATATGCTTAGTTTCGGAAATACTGGGTGTAGAATTTTCATTTTTATTTAGATTTTTTCCAAATAATTTCTGAAGTAACGTCAATATTTGGATAAAAATTGGCCTCAGGGAGTTTTTTGACATGAGAATTTTGATTTTGATATGTCAATATGGCTCCTATTTGTAGGGGACGCCACCTACATGTATTTTAACTATTTTGAAGAGTAAAGGTTGTCGCCCACTATAAAACTACTGCGGCGCCATGTGGAAAATATTCATTTTCTGATATTCTGCGTATTTAAATGTCTCAACGCAAAAGAGCGCTACGAGCAACCGAAGCGCGCTCAAGATTTTTCAAGAAGTCGGACTCACTTCTCTACATAAAAATGTCCGTCTCCCGCGTTTCGGCGCGTTGCATGTCTCCACAAGGGAAAAATTTTGCATTCGAGTTTTTCAGTTGGCTTTTTGACTAGAACTAATCTATGTATCAATGGCAGAAATTGTTATTTTTTGTAAGGTAAATTAGGCAAATCGATTTTCATAAACGGACGCTGATTGTTTTTTTAGTCTTCCCTTTAGAGACAGTTATACGAAATGCCTAACTATCAAAGATTTAATGCTAACGTTTAGAGGCAAAGTTTTCAATTTCCACTTTTTAACAAAGTGACAATCTCCAATTTTTAAATTCTAATTACCTAAATATATAAAAAGATCAGGGTTTTTTTAAACCACATAATTGAACTACACATCAGAATAAATAAGAATTATCAAAAGATACTCATAGAATTTGTCACTTACTGAAAAAGATTGGACACTGATATAAAACAAATGTTTTTTCATTTAAAACCCTCAATTGAGGAGTCCGGAAGAAACTAATCCTTTATTTTGTAATACTGAATTTTGATTTTGTCTTTTTATTAAATCTTAAAAAAGATTATTCAAATTCTCCAAAACTTCTTCCTTTTAAAATATTAATCGTATGAGTCCAAACTTTTTACTGCCCTCTTCCTGTTTTCTGTTAGATCATTAGAGCACAAAAATACGCTACAACAAAATTAAACTCATTGCTAAAAACTAAACTACAGTAAGTAAAAAACACTTCGACTATAACTAAATAGCGTTGTCGCGTTTCAAAAGCGCGCTATAGTGGGCGCAGTCCCTTCGCAGCCGGAAAAAATTCTCTTCCCAACGCCGCGCCGCGCAGCGGTCTAGTGGGCGACAACCTTAATAACTTTTCGTCCGTATCTGTATAAAACTACTGAGTGAAAAAATATTCATTTTCATGATATTCTGCGTAAAAAATGTCTCTTGGTAAAAATCGCTACTAGCAACCGTTCTCAAGATATTTAGAATGGAATCAGTCAATACATAAAAAATGTCTATATCTATGTGGCGGATTCACCTCTCCAAAAAAAATCCTTTTTGGGTTTTTCGCCACTGCACTGCAAGAAAAATCTACAAAATAAAATAGTTATTTTTTGTAAACACTTCTGCATTAAACCTAAACGGACGCTGCTTGTCAGAAGTTTTGTTTACAGTTATAAAAATTTGCCTAACAGAGAAAAAAATGCTTAACGTTTCGGAAAGTTTTCTCTTTCCGTCGTCGGAAGCAAAAAAATATAAAGAATAAAGAAAAAAACTATTTAAAATATTTAAATTGAACTATTCGAGAACACTTTACTTTTTAAAAACAGATACTTCTACAAGAAAACGTTGACGTTCTGTTAAAATGACTTTATAATAAGTTAAACTTCAAAATTAACAATTACTACCTGATAACAATTACTTAATAAGGTAAAACCAAAAAACCCAAACTTTCTGTATTATTATTTTTAAATTTTACGTATGTTATGTTTATTTATGTTATGTTCTTTAAAATCAATTTTATTATCAATTTGATTTTAAAGAACATAAAAAACATTAAACTACCAGTAAATTGCATTAAAACATGAATGGGATGTTTGATGCTTCCTTACATATTTGCAGAGATAGCTTGTTTCAATGATGTTTGAATGTTTACCTCTGTTTATTTAAAGAAAAAAATCGTTGTGAATACGTATCTGTTTTACCATTTATCAAAATATTTTTTAAATATAATAACATTTACAGACCTATTTATATATAACATAATTGTTAAGGGATTATTCGCGATACTACCTTCACTAACAATACTATCTTATTTAAAGAATTTATACAATATGGTTATTTATACGGATGTTACGATTATCAGGGAGAATACATATTCGCCTATTATTACCAACACACGTTCGTTCTTTGTATGATTTATGTATACCAAATGTGATGACAATAATAATTATATTACTAGCAAAAAACACGTAATCTAAATTAGCCTACCCGATACAAAATCAAAAAAAAAAAGAAAAAAAAAAGATATATTCAAACTGTCTAAATACCGCATGAACTAAAATACGGCGTCCATTTGGCTCGATAACATTTCCCATATAATTTTCCATATAAAATGACAGCGCCTCTCATTTCCAAACCATCTCTAAAGCCGTTTATAAAATATTGTACAACTATTTACTATTCAACTATCGCTTTAGTTCTTAGCTTTTTATTGAAAGGTTTTTATCAAATACGTTTACTTAGATACAGATTGTTGATATTCTGTTAATATGACATTACGTGAAGTTAAACTTCAAATTTACAATAACTACCTCAGAGTAGCGCATCAAGAGATTAGCTCCCCATATACGAGAAGGCCCGGTCTGCGGATCCGGCCTTCGAATGCAATCTTTGCGTTTGTGGGCCAGACCAAGTCTGTGGCGGACTAAGCCGGTAAGAGACTTAGTCCCGATCAAATTGACTTCAAAAATATATAAACTACGGCTACGAAAATCAACTCTTAAGACGGGCGGCCACTGCGAGCGAAACTAAACTAAGCGAAGACAAGATTTGTAAAAATCAGCTTCCATACTTTTAAATGCATCAACGGCCACTTAAGCGAAACTAAACGAAAATATATGAACGAAGATTCGAATCGTAGTTTAGTTTCGCTCGTTTTAGTTCGTGACAGGTTCCACCGAATTTTTCGCAGCGATTAGTTCTGTGATAGCAGAGATACAATACGAAAACTTAGCTGACTATTGAGCGAAAATCGTTCTCAGTGGAGTTCCCATTTAATTACCGTTTGTTTTCATATTCTTAGCTTAGTTTAGTTACGCTCGCAGTGAAACGAGCGAAACTAAACTAAGCGAAGATAAGATTTGTAAAAATCAGCTTCCATACTTTTTAATGCGTCAGCGGCTACTTGACCGAAACAAACGAAAATATATGAAC